TTTTTTTTTTTTTTTTTTTTTTTTTTTTTTTTTTTTTTTTTTTTTTTTTTTTTTTTTTTTTTTGCACCACCTGTCTTTCCTCTTCCTGTTTCTCATCGCCTTTTCGCGGCTGATTCAGAACGCTGATATTCCCGTCCCAATTCTGCCCGCGCCCCCCGTCTTCATTCTTGTCTTTCCCTCTTCTCACTTTCGCGTATTTTCATACGCGATTCATTGATCGAGAGGAGCCGATTACACGAACGAACACGGAATTCATCTTGCTTTTTTTTAAAGTTCCACGCTCTCTGTCTTTTCTTTCATCTCCTTTCTTTCCGCTTCTTCCTCCTTCTTTTCCTACTTCTTACTTCTCTCTATATATTCTTCATTCATTTCTACTTTCGCCTCCATCTTCTCTTTCTCCTACGCCTTCATCATCAACCTTCAGTTTTGCCTTTCCTCGTTTCCGTTTCCGTTCGTTGGTCCTCACTATTTCATCTATTTCCTCGTCTAGTTTTATTTTCATCGCTGTATTTTTACGATGATTTGACGCAAATGGGATTATTCGCGACGACCGAAAAACGTGCGATGCCGGGAGAGTCTTTTTTTTTTTTTTTTTTTTTTTTTTTTTTTTGTTAAGGTGTTAAGCTTACGCGTGGGATACATACGCGTGCAAGCAGAATTGCCGCCCGCAATTCGCAATGGATATATAAACGATTTTTAAAGTTATATCGAAGAATGTTTCTCAACTATTGTAATGTACACGAATATACAAGCAATATTTCCCCGGTTTCTTTTGCCTTTGCCTGCGTTGATTTTTCTCTTCGTTTCGTCGTTAATATTTCAGAAACTCGCATATTTTTAGACACCGACAGATTGTTTTACAGGCACGCAGACAAATGAATGGACAAATTGATAGACAGAAGTAACTAAGTGAGTAAGTAAGTACTTACTACACACAACACATACACATAGACGAACGCACTCGCGCGTGATTCGTTGAAGATATTGATTAATCGATTAATGAATTCGAAACAGGTTGTTCACCAGAAGTCGAAAGATCAAAGGTGAGATGAAAATGGGAGAAAGCGCGAGAAAAAAGAAAGTAGAAATTTACAAGTCTAGAATAGTTTGCGAATAATGCGAATAGCGCGAAAGAAAAACGAAGAATACGTAGACGATTTTTCGGTAAAGGTGAAAAGAAAGTATCTCGACCAGAAAGAAAATACGTGAATGCAGCTTTTTCGAGATCAAGGGCGGCAATTCGATGAAACTTGCAGTATAACGATCGAGGCGTTATCACCTATTTATAATTATTGTAGCTAACCGGCAAAGTCGATAAAACATGCGCTTTTGGATATCGGTAGCATACTACATCTTCTCAAGCTTCGAAAAAATGCAGAGCGTTGCAACGAAACTGTGTGTGATATTAATGAGCAACGATTCTCCTCTCCTCGAGACATTCCTTTGTACGTTCGCCATCGCAGTATTCCGTTTCGTCTGTTAGATCAATGTCGATTTTCGCGATTCTCTATGAAATCAAGTTGTTCCTCTAGCCTTTACGAAAAGTGTGCCACGACCAAGCGTTACCGTACCAACCAAAGCGGTACCATACGCGTCGAAATATCGAATGCACGCAAACACCTTTATCGAATATATTATACACGTACATGCTCGTTTCAATCATTTCTGATCGAGGAGAGAGAGAGAGAGAGAGAGAGAGAAGGGCGAGGAGTAGGAGAAAGAAAGAGAGAACGAGAAAGCGTGAAAAAGAAAAAACAAAGGATTTGAAAGGTAAACAAGAAATAGAAATGTCGAAGAGATGTAGCGAATAAAAAAAAAAAAAGTAATAAAAAGAGGAAAAAAATGAAGTTGCTGGTATTGTTCGTATTCGGATCTCCGAGTGCATATACAAGAATATGCTGCAACACGGTATACGAAAACGAGTGAAAACGAAATTCGTTTGGTGGACAAGATCAGCGCAAATCTGAGCGACCACCGACCGTTAATGTCGATTTGGACAAAAAAAACAACCGACAGGTACTCGATTTTTTAACGAGTTTACAGGTTCACATATTTAATATATATGTACGCGTATAGTCGGTTCGGTGATCACTCAATATCAAAAATAAAGAGTCTCGAAGCACAACTCGAGCACAATCAACTTTATACCTATTGCGCAAAACGGGAAAAAGAGCCTGACCCATGAATGAATGGTTGAAACGAGGGGATGCGATTCTGAAAGAAAACAACACAATTGATATTCATAACGAGAACAACTTTGAAACCTGTCTCTAGATGTTCCGTCCGCTTTTTCGTTTTTCGTTTTTCGTTTTTCGTTTTTCGATTTTGAACTTTCTACTTCTATTTGAAAATAATTTCTTATCGCATTTTACAACAATCCATATTCACAAACGACATAAACGAATAGGCATAAATCATCCACCTACTTATCGTTAGATACATCGACGAAACGCGAGATTGATCAAAAATATGAAACAACAACGGATTAAAATTATCGTCGAACTCGATAATTTCGACTTACCAGCGGGTTTCCCTCGAGGTTTGTTCGTGGCACTAGTTCTACCAGGACCGTCGGAAGACTGCCCGTTGTTGCTTCTGTCGGTGCGAGCGCCTATCAACGATATGTCCAAAGGATTCGTCGTAACGTTCACATTTGGCTTTCCATCTCCGTATTTCTTCTCATCAATGTTGTTTGCTACTCGATTTTCTCGATTTTCTCGATTTCCTTCTTCGCCACGGGCTCTTCCCACAATTAAGGTTAGCGTCGAATTTACATCGTTCGTCTCCGGCTGACCAGCATCCACCGAACCTCTCACGGGTGTGCTGCACATGTACGTACGTACGATTAGAAGAGAACAAGTGAAACGGAACTCAACAGTCGAGCAACAAACGATAACTCTAGCTCGAGCGAAAGAAACAAGAATAAATAAAAAAATAGTGTTAAACACCTGAAAAAATCAGTCGCTCGAAGATCTGGAAGAGGAGGAGTTCTTCCGGAGACGGAAACCTTGCCAGCGTCATTGACGGCGCCATGGATGATAATAGGCGTCGCGTCGACCGGAGGAGCATCAGTCTCGTCCAGAAGATTCGAAACGCTGGATGCCCGAATATCCAAACAGCCGATTGAAAGTTCCGATCTCAATGTCGCGTCAGTGGATAATGAGGAACCCGTTTTAAGTTTTCCCTTCTCGTCTGAGGTCGAATAGTCGATCAACGAAGAGGATGAAGGTGGCGGGACTGACGATGGTGAGGAAACTACAGCTGGTAGAATCGGTTCCGATGACTGACCGGTCGACGACGTAGCAGCCGGTGGCGACATCTCCGACGGGATGTCCATCAAATCGAAGCTGTCATCTGGTTGTTCACCGTCCGTTGTCGTCACCTACGACCAAATATACTCATTTTTTCGCATCAAATTTTACGTTTTTTCGCACCTTTGTGCGCGCGTGTAATCCTCTGTAATGTCGTTACCATCGTAAGCATCGTGTTAGCACTGTCAGTGCTAGTGTTGATCGTTGTTTCAGAAGCGGTGCTCGAACCCATGACGACTACTTTTGGAACGGTACGGCAACTTCGACTTCCGCCTGCAGATTTAAAGTGCAATCTCCGTAACGCTGAAGCAGCGTGAGACAACAAATCGGTTTCGCGCGAATTCTCTGTTCCATTGTGACGATGTGCGGTGGCATTAGAAATACGCGACGTCTGTGATTGCGACTGCGACTGCGGCTGCGACTGCGACTGCGACTGCGACTGCGACTGCGGCTGAGACTCGGCCGTTGTTGAATCGGTCCCACCGTTACCCCTCGAACTACCATTTTTACGGCTCGATCCGCGACCATCCACCAGACATCCCTGTTTTTATCGAACATTCACCACGCTAACTGATGATCGCTCTTGCAATTTTCTCCACATTCCCCCCGCCTCTCTCTCTCTCTCTCTCTCTCTCTCTCTCTCTCTCTCTCTCTCTCTCTCTCTCTCTCTCTCTCTCTCTCTCTCACTTTCTTTCACATACGCATGCAGAACACACGCACACACGAATGCGCGATCATTTTATCCATGCACATCTACTCGTTCGTCAAACACATCAGACACATTATTTTTCACGTTCTTCGCTATTTCAACTTTCGATACTCACGTGGTTTCTATGTTCTGGGGTGGAAGGTGGATTCGGTGTATTTGGCAGAGAACCCCCTGTGGGGGTGCAATGCCGCAGTCGCGCCAGGGCCGTACGAAGCCCCTCCGTCACGAGGCTCTTTTATTTGGTCCTTGCAGTGCCACTCTCTCTCTCTCTCTCTCGCGCGCGTGCGCGCGCGCCTTTCCGCCAACAATCCTTTTTTTTTTCAATTACTTTCCCTCGATCACTTCTTTTTTCCTTTTATTCGTCTGTCCGTTTTCGTCCCACTTTTTTGCACTTTTGTTTCCTTTGTCTCCTACTTTTTTCCTCGCTTTTTCTTTCCTACCCTTTTTTTTCTTCTATTCTTTTCTATTCTATTCGCCCGGCAAGTCGAATTAAGTACCGATTGAGAAGAATATTCGAATTCGGGTCTCGATACAGGGTTTGCAAACTCTTATTGTGAGAAAACTTCGTTTGCTTTTTCTTTTAAGACCCTCGAAAAAATGCAAAAATGGTATAATCGATTAAACCGAGTTTCGCTTCAATATTATATTCCGTATAAATGGTTGAGCCACACAAACTGGATGTTTGAATGCATTTTCATCCTCGATCTTCGTTTCTGTTTTTGCTCTCGACTGTAATTTCCTTTCTTCGATCAACCACTGATTCTTAAACGATCTTCGTTTCTGTTTTTGCTTTCAATGGTAATTTCCTTTCTTCGATCAACCATTGATTCTTAAACGATTTGGAGCTGTCTCTGTAACGCGAAACAATACGATCAATCTTCCAAATCTCTTTCAGAATAGCATCGGTGATCGACCAACGATGCAATGTCAAATCGATCGATGTATGAGAAAAATATGTGTAAGAAAAAAAAGAGGCATGAAAGAGATTGCCTGGCAAATGAGAACATCCTTTTCGATCGAACTTTTGATTCAATTACCTTACATCTTTGGTTTACTTTGTTTTACGATACAACGTGTGTGTACATATTCGAATACGCGTAGATAAACGGTGTTTTCGGATAACGAAATTACACGAAATTTATCATTTTATTTTTACTATTTTATCGATCGCAACCATTGCCAATCACTAATCAATGGGAGAGGGTAACTAAACCTCACAACGTTTGTCAATGATAAAGAGAAAAGTAAATGACGACTGACAATGAGTAAATTAGACGCGTCGACTATCGATGATCATTTGAGACAACCGAGGAAGGAGAATATGTAAGCACGTCGTATCGTCGATTGCAATTTAATTGTTAGATTTCCGGCAAGATATATACACGTCGCGTCGATTACAATGCCATTTTTACAGTCTCTACATACATATGTCTGTATATTCGCAATTTTTCATATACGATGTAACACAGTCCGTTCATGATCCAAAATTTCCTTTCATTCGCCTATCGCTAATTTAACTGTCCGTCGTTGGAACGGTTCACTCTGCTTCATAGGATCATGCGTAATCGTATTGCATCTCAACGCGAGTATTGCATCTCGTGTACGTATATTGCAAATGCGTATGAAACGTGGAATTTAACGAAAACTTGATCAAAATCATGACGGAAACATTGCATTAAAAATCAATTTCTTATTACACATGATCGAGTCACAACAAAATTGCACATGTGTGTGTGTGTGTGTGTGTGTAGACGAGCAAAGGAAGATAATGATATAATAACTGGGTAAAGTTAAAGAAGCAAACGGCTTGATAATTAACTATGAAAATAAAAACGAAAACATACTGCGTGTAAAAGAAAGTGCGAAAAAAGCAAGAAATACGAATCGAATGTATAAAAGATAACTTACAGCTAATGGATCCAACAAAACAACAGCAACGTTATTTCTTTATTACACCTATATACGAATACGTCTATCATACACCTAATCAAGAATAACAAGGATGATTTGCACCAATACCTGCTGCGTCCCTTTCAAAAAATAACACCTTCTACCTTGGCATTCCACGGATTACTGGCGTATAGTGCCGTGCTTCAGGAAAGGACACTTGGCGCTTGCGCTTTTACTACGAAGGGTGAAACTGCTAAACCAGCAGCACCGTCGCACCCGATCTGCACCATCTTCCCTACTACTCCCTACTATTAATTTCTTTCTCTTCCCATTTCCCTTTCTATTTATCATCTTTTTCTTCCATTTCACCATATATCCCTTTCTTTTTTTAATCATATTCATTCTGTATATTATCCACTCTTTTGTTCTTTTTTTTGTATCAACTCTCTATTATCTCCTAGATTATGTTCTTTTATTTATACACGATATTTTCTTTTATAATGCCAAACGTAAATAATCGTACTAAATCAATCGAGAGAATGCATTCGTTCGTATTTCAAAACCATTTAAAAAAATTTATACCTTTAACGATGTCACACTCCAAGTTAAACTCCACGACGACAATCGTTCCTTTTCAAACAAATAGTTAAATTGTATTTACGGGATGAATTACGCTTGAAAGAACTGACAGGCACGAAAGAAACGACACAAAGAAAAAAATGGAGGAATAAAGGAGAGAAAGAAAGGTTGGTATTATATGATCAACCATGCATTACGAAACTTGATATCACCGTATACCGTTGTACATTGAAAAACGACAGAGGAAGATTCTTGATTCAACGATTCAATTTGATTTCATTCGAGTCGGCTAGAAAACGATAAACCTCCTCGACGAACTGATCGAAAATAAGAGCATTTACTTACACACTTTGTGCCAGAGGATAACGGGAAAAACAATAAAGCGAATGAATTGTAATAAACAATCGAATTACTTCTAACTCTGTATCGCACATATATTGAATATTCCATCAAAAGCATCGAGAAGATGAAGTAAATCCAAACGTTTTATTCACTAATGTCAATCCGACTGCATAACCTTGCAACATCGAGCAAGTTTCATCAAACAAAATGTTGCCATATTCCTGACAAATTATTGAACCTCGTAAATCTCTACAACATCTCTGCGCAGATGCACGACCGTTTCCTATTACGTATTACGAGCTAGTGCCGTTCACCTCAGTCACCTTTGCCCCACATTTTACTTTCCATCGCTCTACTTTTCAAATTTCCATCTTTTGCGCTTTCTTCGCACGAGACATGTGCTTCCGAGTTATCGAATAAACAATAATTATCACTAACGCCAAACGAAATATGTATCCTGTTTTTTCTAATAAAACAATGAGAGAAAAAGAAAATTGTTGAAGGAGGAGAAGAGAGAAAGGAAAACAGAGAGATTGCGCGCGTTAGCAATCTGCAAATCGATGGATAGGTACTCGCGCGGTCTCTATGTTGAACGATTTAACGCGATTTACACACACGCCTTCAAGTTGACCCGAAGCGCACGCGAGTTGATCGACCGCTTTGTCAAAACACCAAGCACGACTATCGATCCGAAGCTTCCATGTGTACTGTATCCGTGTACATTTTGTTCGTACGTTTTATTACGAAATTTCGCACATGCATTTCGACATTAATAAATAACGACCGTACAAATCAAACTTGATAAAAACAAATAAAATTGAAAAAGTCAAGGGGCAATGATCCGAGATAAAAAAGAAAATGGTGAAAATGCATCGGAACATTTTTTTGTCGTTCTTACGATTCGACATTGCCAACGCTATGAAAAGTATGCCGTAAAGCAACCTATCTACGAAACAACGTTCCATAAAATACTTGCATTTTATAATTTACTTATTTTCTATCATATTTGTTCCTATTCCTAATTACGTATTTTTTGGAGTACTATAAAATATAGAAGGCACATACATTTATACAGGTTCGTATAAATGTATCACATATGCATGCATCTTTCTATAACTATATATAGGTAACTTCTGTACATGTACGTGTATTTTCTCATATTCAAAATATAATAATAAACATTACACATAGTGTAGCTTGTGATTAGTTCTGGATCAGGGCTTTGATCGGCAATTTCCATGAAACGAAAGCGTCGATACTCATTTTCAGATTACGAAATACCATCGTAATCTCTAGTCTTCATTTTTCTTTACTTGTTTACTTCTTTTGATCGAGAATAGACAGTTTCAAATCGTCATATCGATGATCTGTTGTTTCATTTTCAACCTTGTTTTTTTTCCGTCATTGATTTCTTCGCTCAAAAGGAAACAACCGTACAAACGTCTCGATATCGCTTTGAAATACTGTCGCAATTGCGTTTATCTGTTTTTACATCAACATATCGTCATATAATCGATCCAATAAAACATGCTCGTTTTACCATCTCGGCGCTTATGATGCGAGCAATGCGTAAGTTTACTTAATTAACATATTTGTATCTTTGTCCGCTATTCTTGTCCTCGTTTTCGTCGTCGTCGTCGTCATCATCGTCATCGTCGTTGTTGCGGTGACATTACATTAGTAAATAAAATATTACAATATTACCTTAAGCATACGTACTTATTGTTAATTTTCATTTCTTTTCTTTTTCGTTTTTTTTTTTTTTTTTACATTCCTACATTCAAACTTGTAAATACATTCAACCAACATACACGACGTAAAAAAGCACACGCGCATACATACAGCGTATGTTAATAATCCTTTGTAAAGAATTGTTATCGTTTCAATCACTCGCATCATTTTCCTTCTTTCTTTTTCATCATATTTCGAATTACAGCACATCTGTATTTACGTTAAATTTTTCACGTAGAAGGCATAGAAATATTACGATTAAATTGCGGTATGAGTAAAAATTATATCTGAATTTCAATGTGATAAATATCGATTGGTGAAACTTTCGTACAAGATATCAATACTCATCCCACAACAACAACAATAACAACAATAATTCTCTTTCGTCTATTATTATTTAAATGCATAAGTAATAAAGAGTACGATCGAGTCAATAACTATCATTGAGATACGTTGAGATGCGATCGTAAAATAGATCGAATTAACATTTAATGTTGGACGAGGCGCACGGCAAAGAATGTGCTCCCATCAAACTAGTACGGAACGTATCAGGAACTTGATCAAGTACAAACAAACAACTGTGGGTTTATACCAGAGTAAATAAGTAGGATAGAAAATTTTTAAATGGAAAAGTAAATTGAAAAATAGTGGAGTGAAGCTCGAGAATCGAGCTGGGAACGATAGATTTATGCGTATAAAAATAAGAATTTATCTTGATATTAAAAATTTATCTATCTTACGGATTAGAACTAGCGCATCGTCGTACTCGAATATTCTAATTATACGAATGTATCGGAACAATTCCGGTTGTTTGTTTGTTGTGTGTGTGTGTGTGTGTGCGCGCATGTTTATATGAACACACGCAATGTACATATGTACCTTGTTGATACATGCGCGTGATTACTCTCGAAATTCAGTTCAATTCAATTTCCTTTTTGTTTGTATATGTTTCCTGTCTGTTTGTATATGGAGTATAACAAATGATCGTGGATACGACGAGAGTAATCGATAAACACAATTTTATAGTAACGAAATTATTAACCAAAATTATATTTCGATTAGGCACAATGCATTTGTGTTATCAAAGGAGAAAACAATATGTAACTCCAGTTCATTTTTCTAACGAATTTTGATCGCAATTGCATCGATGTCCACGATGCGCCATTAACCACTTGCTACAGGACACTGTTTCGTGGATTTCAAAATGTGTTCATCGAACGTCATTCTTCCACTGCGATCCTTTCCCTTTCGTCGATAATATAGTCGTCGTAATAGACGAAAACGAAAGGAACGCGGTAAAAGTTATTTTCAACTTGACGCTCGATAATTAAATGTACCTGTGTAAGTGGAAAATTCTATACCTTTTAAAAACAGTCTTTATACAGTGCTTAAATTATTATATACAAAATGTAGCTGCTTAAGAGGTAAAAAGTATTTCTCCTTATCGTAATTAATTGTTACGCATTAAATTAATCAAATTCGCAGTTACAGAGTTACATTGATTTCGTTCGCGATTAATCGAACATGGTCTTCACTCGTTATACCCTGCTTGTATATTTACAAAAAAGCTGCGGGTGTACGATAGTTCGTCGACTGACAATATACTGCGTGCTTTATAAATCTCGGTTTCGTAAAAACGATCGAGGTATCGTTGTTCTCGTGTTCTTAAATTGAAAATAAATGCATGATTTTTCAATACGTGAGCAAATCTTTTGCTCGTCCACATCAACGTATAATTATATAAAAAATACAAGTGCAAATATACAGATTTACAGGATATAAATAGATGTCATTGGGTAAAAATCTCGACCATTGTATGAAACGGACGGGTGTAAGACTTAAAATCTAGAATCTAAGTACATCCTTACCTATGTGGGCCTGAATCAAACGTCAATAAGATTATAAAATGTTGACTAACGCACAATAGAAAAGAAAAAAAAAAAAAAAGCAGAGAAACTTACATAGTAGCAGTACGAACTATCGTGTCTGGACGTTCATGAAAAGAATAAAGTAAAAAAGTTACCAACTAAGTCTGGAAAAAAATGATGACAGTAAATCGTCAGCGTTGGCCAATCAAGTTGATTTAAATTAAACCGTTCACTCTTGGTCTCGATTCTTACGGAAACGAATACTCGAATAAAATCGAAGGGGTTAGGTTGGCCGCTCTCTCCGCTCGGCTTACATCGACGTTCATAAAAGAAAGAATAGAACGAGAAGAAAAAAAAGAAAATTCCGTTAGAAGTATTACAAGTTTTTCACGTGGAAGTGGCATATCATCTTAACAAAAATATTGCGGCACAATTTCCCATGATTGCAGCAAATAAAATTATAGATTTGGAAAGAAGTGGTGCTAAACTGGAATATGCCTTTTCTACGTCTTCGCAAACTCCTGAAATAATAATAATAAAGCGATTATTACAACAATTATAGGTCATACAACCCGTTATTTAAATAACTTGATAAATATCTGATACTTTAGTGTAATGTAATTAATCAGGAAATACAAAAATAAAGAGGGGAAAGTAAGAAATGATAAACGCGTGTTTTTTTCATTAAAATACCTTCACTAACGAGCGTATAGAATCGTTCATCTTGGATATGGCCTCTTCGGCAGACACGATCCAATTTAGTTAACCAAAATCCTTGTTCCGAGACTTTGGTTTTAATTGTTCTTCCCGTTACAGATGTCTTTTCTGCATTACGACCAAATTGCATAGAAAAACAAAAGGTCTGTCCAAAATTTGAAGAAGCTTCATTGGTTTTTAGCGACACTATTGTGTACCAAGTATCTTTTTCTTCCCAACTACCATGACAATAATATGCTGCAACAGCAATAACAAAAATAGAAGATATAGAAGATCCATAGGTAGAAAATATTGCAAATAAACCTGGTGCTTACTCGTTTCTTCCGTATCGCATGTTTTTCCAATAACAATTTCACTCTGATCCCACGAAGCACAGCCTATTTGAACACTGGTTCTTTTACAATCCTCCCTTTGCTGTTCTTCTTGTTGTTGATAATGTTCTCCTCCGTATTGATGGTGATGGAGATGGTGATGATATTGTTGTTGATGTTGTCGTTGTTGCTCGTATGATTCCTTTTGAGGTACATCTTCGTGCCAAGTCCTTCTTTTGGTGATTCTAGAAGGGCGTCTTTCATTACGACGTTGTCGACGAAATGGAGTGCTAGATACACTGAACGGAGCAAATCCTAAGACAGCATATCGTCCAGGATTGGGACATTTTCTCTGACGTAATGAAGAGCCTGTAGAGTAAGGAAACGAATTACATAATAATGTATATACGTTGTACTAATTGTACGATTAAAATTATCAATGTGGAGAGTCACTTACTTATTAGAGTGGTATACGCCATTGTAGATGTATCTGCAAGGGAACATGCTTCATCTGGCATTATAGCCTTTTCATCTATGAATGTTTCATGTTCGAAATGATGAAAAAAGAAAACAGTCGGGGCATTTAAAGACCAAAACGTCAAGTTATACATACTTACCTGATTGCTGTAATTCTATAATATGATGATCTCTTTTGTGAAATATCATGCAAACATAGCCAATATCACTGCAAGAATAAAATACTTTTAACACGTCATAACTATTTCCATATACTCTGTAGTATTGTATGGTTATTACTTACCATCCGCTAGTAACATGGGCGATTAATTTTACTTTATATCCTTGTGTATTCTCCGAAGGATGTAATTTCTCTAGATTATGACAAACAATTTTTTCTTCGTGAAATGTATCCTCATCGGCGTTTTGTACTTTAACCTTAAGCGTTGCATTTTTATTCGTGAAATGATAAACTTTAGTACCATCCAGAGAACGCCAGTCATGATGTTCAGTGATCCATGAAGGATATTTGCATCTATTGTGTTCTTTATCAACTGCAAATACAAACTCAATATTTTTATAACCTCATATTTTCAAGCGAAACGTATATTGACAAATAAAATTAGTCGATAAATTTTGTATACCTTTTGTAAGCTTTATAGTTGGCGATCCCTCGGAAACTGTAGTTAGGCCATTACAAGTTGGTTCGCCCGATTGAGCAAGTAAATAGGCCACCTTCCCCTGATGATGTGTTTTCTCTTCGTATAAGAAGCATCTGCTCAAAAAGGATAGGTAGAAAATCAACAGTCAGCATAAATTTAATATCTAATCTATCGGTAAGCATTCATACCTATACATTTTTTCGGAACTTGAGATACTCCTTCCTTTTAATGTTCCAACAAGATACTTGTTACGACCATCATTCCATACAGCAAGACATTGCAATTCTTCAGCTAAAATATGAAAGAGGAGATACGTAACGAAATTGTATAATATATACACGAAAACAACATTTATTCGAGAAAGAAATCGATAATAACGACAGTGTTCGCTTAATCTTACTGTTACTCTCGCTCCGTTCGATATCCGGGCAAGCCTGATATTTCAGCAGTAATTTACTTTCGTCGGTACATTTTTCTCCAAGACTAATAGGCGTTGCGCATTCACCGAAACCCTTGTCATAGGTAAATGTAAATGACGATCCACTAAAAGGACATGGTATTGGCTTGGAATTTACACGAAACATGGAATATAAAGTATCATCGGACTTGATGTTTGAGCACATTTCGTCCAAGCTGATCTGTTCCGAAGAACACCATCCTGATGACAAAAACAAAGCTTCAGCTTTTAAATTTCAAGATATAGGACGATGAATAAAAAACGAAATAGAGAGACTAACCTTCACGAAATTGAATCACATTCTCATGTCGATCATTGACAATTATACAATAATAACAACTGTCACCACTGAAATGCCATTGCAAGGATTAATATACCTTTAAGCTCAAAATTAACTATCTCATCTTACTATATTTTAAAAACTACAAGCGTCTTCAAATACTTACTAGACAATGTACGAATGCTCTGATCGCTCGACACATGTTCTTTCACCCAAAACCGTTGCGTTTACGGTAATCGATGATAGTTTTCCATATTGATACCACTCTCCAGTCCATGCAACTGGGAACTCGCAAGAACCTACAGTGATTTTACAATATTAACAGATAGATAAATATTCCTCGTTCCTTTTTTGTTTAACAGATAGATAGTATACGAGCTATTTATGTAATACTAAAATAAAAGTTTACAGAAACAAATCGAATCCGAAAATATTTATTTAATTGTTGATGTGCTTCAGTTATTACATGTTAACTTAACGAAAAGGATCAATTCGATTCATTGTAAGCAACTACAACTTATATATTATGGTATACAAGTTGTCATTTATATTCACCATTTGCAAGACGTATATCAACCAGGAATAACAACAATAGTATTAACATCGTTGTCGAGCGGTGAAGACGTCTTTCCTCGTATAATAAGGAAAATTCTCGCATTCTGAAATAAGCGAAACAATTAAATGTAATTAATTTTTTGTATCATGTAAACGTTATAACGAAAATAACGTAACCGTTCTTAGTGTAACCGTTTTCTATTATTTTTATTTTAGTTACTTCTCCAAGATTAAAATACGATAAAGTGTTGAGAATGGATATCGATTTTAAATTACTATCATCTGTTTCATTTTATTATTTTTATCGTTTTTGGTAAAATTAACTACGTGTACAATTTGATAGTAATTCGAGTGTATTGTTCGTTTTTCGAAATTAGAGAAATCATAATGATGGAATAAACGAAAGAAAATATTCATTACACGATTAATACAGCCAAATACAGCGACAGCAAAAAGACGTACGTAAAGAGTTTGGCGGAACTGCGAAAAGCATCTACGAAAGAAACCTCCGAGAAATATGCATTATTTAGCAAAGTACACGTGTCCCGATCGGTTTCGCTCAACGTGTTCTCTCCCTTTGCCGCGAACCTCGTGTGCACCACTCACTTTGTACCTTATACCCTATCGTTCTAGAGATACGCGATGAGACACCGATCTGCGCATTGTAACAATCCTTGAACGTCTAATTTCCTTCCCGTTTATTCTTTCATATTTACTGCCTCTCGAAATTAATAAGCGTGTTTTGTGTTTCTTCTAATTTCTATATTTCCATTCTTTGTCTCAACATGAATTTTCCGGTTTCATAATTTCTTTCGTTCATAATGTTAATCTACACTGAACAATACGAACTCGTATTCATTTTTTCACGTCGTCGTCACGTAATATGTAGTATACAAAGGAACACAATAAATTCGGATCTTCGGACGATTCAACTTGTCATTGACTGATTGTCATCGTTGTCATTGGGAACACTAACCTTGTTTGTATATCCGGCATGGTAAATGCAAAGGCAATTCGAAGAAAACGAATAATTTCAGAAAGCATCGCCTAATGACACGCGATTGAAATCGAGTATTTAGATATAAAGCGAACTGGTTCATGGAGCAGATCGTTTGAATTTTAAGATATCTATTAAATAATTAACAATTACGAGATTCTATCAGCATGTAAACAACAATTTTTACAGCAGCAAAATGAAGACAAGGGATTATTGTAAAACACAATATTCGATTTTTTCTGACTGTTGAAAATTTCGCCTCACAATAATTAATTCAATTAATCTGCGATCAAAGGGACGCGTTAAACACGATCGGACTGTCTATCAGCAGAGCGTTTTTCATCAATTTTACCGTGGAAGAATAACACATCACTCTTTTCATTAGCACCATCACTATCATCGTATGTATCACGTCGTTAAACAAGCATCATCGAATTACAAAAGTTAACTTTTTCTCCTTGAAAATACGTCACATAAACTCTTTCATAGAAATTTTTTGCTTTCACACAAATACGTTAGAAAATAAATAAAAATTTAACACGTGAAACGTGCTGCTTTTAATATTCTCAGTTTTTAAATAGTTTACACTGATAACGAAATTGGATATTCACTACTGTGCTTCAATTTTAAAACTTTTACAAGTCTGTTTGTTCGTTTGTTCATTTGCTCACTTCTAGAAACAATGGCGGCAGCCTATGAGCAGCAAACGAAACGCCGCGCCGCCGTAACTATTGCATACTACGATACAATACATACTATACTGTGAAACCCCAGCATGCACTGCTGCATTTATAGAGACTGCTCGCCTCCTGTTTATCGAAATCGATGTGTACGGTATTAAAATTTTCGTATGTTTCCCTATTATACTTTTTGTCCTCTTCTTTTCCTATCTCACTTTCTTTCTCTTTCTCTCTATCTTTCCCTTTTCCTTTCCTATTTTCTTTTCGTTTCCCTTTTCCTTGGTTGTTTCCGTTTCCGTTTCTTTCTCATTTCAACATTTTGTTGCAAAGCAGCACGTCATTTGTTGATTCTTTCATCACGCTCTCTCTTTCTTGAATGAATTGGAAAGATCAATGAAAAGCATCGATCGTTCAATTATCAATTCTATCATAGAATGAATATTTTCTGATAATGAAACAATGATCACAGTTGGTGGAAATCTGTGGAATCTGTACGAGGAATAAAATAGAAGACGCTAGGTATAAATTTGAAAATACCTAAAACACACGCTTGTTACTAGCAATGATAAACTAGGAACTTTTGTGGAGGCACTAGTACCAACATGAAACAAGAGCAGACGAAACAACTAACTTCTACATGGAATTATAGGGGAAACAATCACTTGGCTTATGTGAGTTCTAACGTTCTAATCGATTTTTTTCTATTCCTTTTGACTTTGGTCACGTGTGCTTGATTAGATGTAATCTGAAAAAAACATTTTCATGAGTGATAAAACTTATTCAATTAATTTGACTCACAAAAGATACTTATGTAGGTGTTAATGATGTACCATAGCGGGTTTCGAAGAAAAAAGGAATTTTTGATCATACATACTTTTATAAAAATAAGATAGAATCGTAAATATATATTTAATTTATTTGATTTTTTGCATATATATAACATAATAGCATAATATAGTATTTACTTTGTATATTACATCTCCTGATGTACGTGACGTACGTGATTTTACATTGCCATACTTAAGTATTGTTGGTGGTCGGACATTATATGTACGAGTGAAATATCGATAATCACACAAACATAACACATACTTACGTATCGATAGATAAAGAATTTTATATATATAATTGTATAATTTGTATATTATTGCATATTGTTATATAATTATACAATTGTACCGGAGATTATCTAAAATAGGTAAAAATCTAGTCACTTGTGTGAGTAGCATAATAATTATGTATTATATATATATGTATTTTTAATTTTAAACTTAAAATGATACTACATATTGCATTTTTCGATAACAAAAAAAAGTCGAAATATGTTTAATGTTCCTAAAATATAATATTATTTCCAAGGCATATATTTCTACTGTTTTTTAAACATACCGAGAAAAAATAAAAGTTAAAAGGTAATGACTTTAAAGGAAGAAAAAAAGTTAAACTACACATAGGATATAGAAGCGTATACTAAAATAGTTTTTGTTCGATTTACTCCATTTACAATGTTCTTGCATATCCTACTACAAAAAAAAAAAAAAAAAAAAAAACAGTGTATTCACGTGAATTAATAAAAATTAAAAATAATAATCTGATTTAAAAAAAAAAAAAAAAAAAAAGAAACAGTAATTTGCAACTTATTTATACAACTTCAAAGAAATTTTTTATATTTATTAACAATTAATAATAACAATTTCAAATAAATTGAAATTTGAACACAGAGTGACTACAAACAATTTGACTTTCAATCTTGATCTTTAGATTTTTACTTAAATTTTGATTCTCTAGTGAATAAACAGTTAAAAGTCATATTGAAATACGTATGTATGTAAGTACTTTCTATGAAATGGATTTCTACATACGCACAACGCTGTCTTGTACATGTTTGTATACACTCACAAGGTGTATTAAAAAACACTCGGTATTAAGACGAAGCAGAATACATACATACATATGTACATACCTGCATTTTTATTATTCTTTTTTTCCTTGTAGCATTTCTGAACTTCCTAATGTTGCTATTATCATGTATAGCACACAGGGAACGCACATATATTGTGCGATTCATCAATTGTGCATATGAGCGTATCGAATTTAATGAAGACACGCGGATAAAGAAATAGTTGGCGGCAATGTAGTAAAAGAGTACCGTTTTGAAAGTTTTGATGACCAAGTATGTATGTATGTAGGTCACAGAAAGCTCTTGAGCGCAAGTCCATCGCGCAGCAAATACGACTTTTCGATCGACACGTCGTTTCGTAAAATACGTTGGTAGGTAGGTCGACGGTCGCAACGTTTAGAACGTTGCACGTGTGCAAATGTTACCAAAAATTTCTTCCATCACGGTATGTTTTATCCAATTTGGACTTGATGTGCTTCCACATTGGACACTGAATTGTTTTTACACGTACAGACACACGCCAATTTCCCTTTTAAATAATTTCAAACCTTCTGTTTAAATCCCGGCTTAAATCTTTCCTTTATTCGTTTTTATTTCTTCGCATGTTTCGATCCGCAAGAAAATGTTTACTTAGTAGGTAATAACAATTCACTGTTTATACCTTTAACGAAGAAAGCACGAGATAGATAGTGTGTATTTTTTGTTACGACCAAACGAGATTGTTACAAGTATAGTAAAATCTATTTGTTCGTTTCGTTTTATTAAATAATTCCTCGTTATTAATTATTTTTTCATTTGCTTTTATTTACTTTTATTTCCACGAAAGATTTTAATTATATTTCACGCGCATAGTTTTCCAAGTTTCTTCTTACAAAAATACTCTTCTTGAATTATAGTAGATGCATCGGAATGTCTTTCTTCGCTTGGAAAGGGAGCAATCGTTCTGAAAATACCGAACACGGTGGACGTAACTTACAAGATGGTCTCTTTCAAATTGCATCTCAAGCTTGTCACATATTAGTACAAGTAAGTTTAGTACAGTTAAGTAACAATTAAGTAACAAACTTACGAGTGTGTCAAATTCGAATAAATTTGATTTATTTAATCGCGCTCTCATTTCTGTTTGTACTCCATATTCATTAAATTGCATATTATATATATTTCTGTGGCACTTTAAATTATTTATTTCAATTAATTTTAAATTATTTCTTTAAATTGAAATCGATGTCGAGGAGCGAAAAAAATTGTATATGTAAATCACCATTTCGACTGTTTCTATACGTATCAATAATACTACAGTCAGTCAATTGTTGTGCGCAAGTGAATCTCAAAACTTTCATGAGCGATAGTAAATACAAGTTGATACGAGTGCTCGATAATATATGTATATAGTAATTTTGTCGTATGAAATTTGATTCGAAAGGTAAACAACACGCACAACGTTTCATACGGTGGAAATAATAATGTAAGGAATATCGCATATTCGAAATGTTCAAACAATGATGAAGATTCGGTACGTCACGCAGCTTCTTCCACAAATAAAGCCACTGCTTCCACAGTTAAATCTTATACAAAGTATAGGAAAGAACAAGGCAAAGATCAAGATGTAGTCGTTTTGTTACCACATCGTAAGAGCAGAACACCTCTTATTAAGCACAAATTATCCGTATGTACAATTACGTAAGGATTTCTCCGTTTTCGTTTCATTTTGAATGTTTTTGTGATAGTTGTCAAATAAAAATTTACCGTCACTTGTCACAGACAGTTTCTGAGAATGCTAGATTAGAATTGAACGAGAAGTCAAAATATATCGGCAGTGGTAGTAGAAATGGCGGTTCTGTCGGTGGTGCTTCTGGCAGCGGTCCTAGTGGTGGCGGTCCTAGTGGTGCTAGTGCAATCAACGGTAATACCGTTCCCGATGATGACTTCGAACTATGGGATTATTCCGGTTTCATGTTGAAAAATGATACTGATGATCCAATTACAAATGGAAAGTTAGTGTTCCTTTTGATTAGAAATTTTTATCCTAATAAAATACAAAGAAGAATCATCCAGAAACAAAATAATTAATTATTCATGTTAACATTGTGTGTTATCGAAACAGATGGGGAGGCGCACAAGGATGGTGCAGGCCAAGTTGCATTCCGATTACGGTTATATTAATTTTAATAGTATTGGTTGTTTTATTACCGTTGTTAGATCACACGGCGGATAAATACGCGTCAAACGGTGCAGATTTTGGTTTCGATACAAGTTGCATGAACGGCTGTAATTTATCTTTCGTGGAAACTCTACCGATCGGTCTGAATTACACCAACAATACCGTCTTTCTCGACAACACTTATGACTCTTGGATTAAATTGATCTCGTTAGCACGGCAAAAAATAGAAATAGCATCGTTTTATTGGACTATGAGAAGAGAAGATGTATATCCAGACGACAGTGCGAAACAGGTATGTAAATGAATTTATTTATTTCAGTAAATAAAATTCGACATGATTGTTTCAGGGTGAAGAGATATTCAAACTACTTCTTCAAGCGGGCAGAGATCGGAATATTTTACTGAAAATAGCGCAAAACCTACCGTCGCAAGTTAGTCCAAACATCGATACGGAAGTCTTGACAAAAAAAGCAAATGCCAAGGTATAATAATTTCAAAGCTCGCTTTGAAATAATTCAATAATAATACGAATGATTGAATTCGGTTAAAAAAAAAAAAAAAAACAACAAAAAAAAACGCCGATTATATTCATATTGTGATTAGGTTAAAAGTTTAAATTTTGCTGGATTACTGGGAGGGGGGGTACTTCACACGAAATTATGGCTCGTTGACAGAATGCACGTATATATTGGTTCTGCGAATATGGACTGGCGGTCGCTCTCACAGGTGAAAGAGCTTGGTCTAATCGCTTTAAATTGCAGTTGTTTGGCAAATGATTTTGCTAAGATATTTGATGTAAGTCGATTGTTTCTGACAATTCTGTACATATAATGTACGTAAAAGCTAGAGTTATTTTTAAAAATGTTTTATAGGTTTACTGGACAGTAGGCGATGATGGTAAAATACCATCCGTTTGGCCAGACTATCTTAACACAAGAATTAATTTAAAAACTCCGATGAATTTTACATTTAAGAACAATAAGTATAAAACATTTGTCGCGGTAAGTTTGATGCTTTTCTGAGGACAGCGTTCCAACATATAAATTTAATATGACACTTGAAATATCAATATATGGATGAGAGAGAGAGAGAGAGAGAGAGAGAGAGAGAGAGAGAGAGAGAGAGCATGTCAGCAATTCGTATAATTTGTATATTCTGTTTTTCAGAGTTCTCCTCCCCCATTTTCGCCAAAAGGAAGGACCAATGATATTGATGCTATTCTTTATTGTATCGAAAAAGCTGAGAAATTTATTTACATCTCGGTAATGGATTATTTTCCACTAACTGTATATACAGCTAAAATCAAGTATGTATCGATTTATCCTTTTCTTATTGATTCGTCCGTATTAATTTACTTAGGTTAACGTACTATGTGTTTCTATATTTCAATTCGATTTATTGATTCAACGTGATTTGACTTTGTATACGACTTTAGATATTGGCCGATAATAGATGATGCATTGAGAACCGCAGCTATCGAACGTAAGATACATGTACGACTATTGATATCAATGTGGAAGCATACGAGTAAATCAGAGATTTTCTTTCTCAAGTCACTCGCGGAATTAACGGATAGTTACGCGGGTGTAAAAATTGAAGTGGTCAGTATTTAATAACTTCATTGACTCATTTTGTACAATTCTGTTTCAATTGAACATTTTCTATATAACGTCGCACTTAACGTCTGCTATCTTTTTGTTTCCAGAGAAAATTCATAGTTCCTACGAATCCTGATTTTGACAGAATACCGTTTTCAAGAGTAAATCACAATAAATACATGGTGACCGATGTAGCAGCGTATATAGGAACAAGCAACTGGTCTGGCGATTATTTTATAAATACCGCAGGTAATTGCTTTTCTTACTTTTTCTCTTACCATATCTTTACGACTGACGATGAACAAACGTAAATTTACTATTGCTTCGTTAGGTATAAGTACAATATTCGAGACTATCAGCGACCAGACTTCCGACAACCTTAGGCAACAGTTGGAAAATGTTTTTCATCGCGACTGGCATTCCGAATATTCTTACGCTTTAAACGGAAGTTTGCCATTCGTGGAACGATCGACAAATACCATCGAAGATGATTACTATCTACGATCATCACGTTACATATTAACGTGACAACATCAAAGATTTTATTAATATTCGTTTCCAGCGAAATCACTCCTTACCACTTAATATGTCGAGACGAATTTCTTAAATGTCTCGTCTCTTGTCACTGACAAAATTAAACTCTTTCTTTTCTTCTTCTTCTTCTTCTTCTTCTTCTTCTTCTTCTTCTTCTTCTTCTTCTTCTTCTTCATCTTTTTTCTTTTCTTTTTTTTTTACGAAGCACATTCTTACGATTATTCACACTCAGCAAATATCGACTTCGAGCTGACGTTCTGTTTGTTCCGTGTACACTACATGCACAAACACATCCTTCTTCCATTCTCTCTTATGTTGTTTCATCTCTTTATTATTATTTCTTTAAAGATATATATATATATATATACATATACATACACAAACGTACATACACCTACGCGTAATATTCCTTCTCTCTCTTTCTTTGTCTCTGCCTGTCTGATTCTGTCTTTTTTTAACACACATCTCCTTCCTTCCGGAGTGCGCGCTCGCGCGTACGCGTATATATGTATGTGCACATTTATTGACCACAAGAAACGAATATATCTGAAATCTTGAAGATATCGGAGTAGTCTTACATAATGGACGTTTGTGTGCCTTGGTTCAAGTGACCTTGCGAATGTCTTCTATGAAGAGAAATCGTTTCAATATAAAAAACCGATATTCCGTCCATATACAATCTTGAAAAAAATTGTACACTTTGTGGAAATTTACATTCCTGGTTTAAGAGAAAAACACAGAAAAAACTTGCCTGAACGCGTAGCATATATTATAATTCGATACAATACGCATTAGTAATGTTATATTTTTTTGTCGATATGACGTATATCATATAATTCACCGATGTAAAAAGAGCTGTAAAGAAACTGCTAAAGTACATGTTTAATTTAAATGATATGCATTTTTACATGGAAATATACCAGAATAGCTCGATAATCGTGACAAAAAATAGTGGTTTTTCACAGCTAGATTCAAATTAGCATGACGAATTATATGCTTAAGGAATATATTAGTTTGCATCGCGTTAATCATGTTAATTTGTTTATCTAATGCGGAACAAAGTTCGTTTAAGACGCACAATATCACCATTTGCGATTTTATTACAATTTTATTACAATCAATGACAATTGTCTTTGTTCATTATTGTAAAATTACATCTTTCGTCTCACGTCTCATAACGTCGCAAATTATATCTTTCCTATGTATTATACATTTTTATTTGTACTTCCATTCTTCATATTTTTGTACAAAAAAGGAAAGAAAATAGATTTATATAAGCATATATACATACATACGTACGTACATATATACATATCTAGATAAGATTGTATAACTACTTGTCATTACAGTAATTATCAATCATCAGTTATCGGTATCATTAGTTGTAATTAAACTTGCTTTTAGTTCTATTCCTTAATTATTATTCTTTCTATAACTGAATATATTATATGTATGTAAAATTTAATTGCCATAGTGTACGTCACATACGACAAAAGAAATGCTGATTATTATACGATAAATTAGTAAGCGTAAAGGAATTGTGGCAGACCTTGTTTTTTGCTATCCAGTTCACGTCAAGTAGTCATATGAAGTTGAGTATAATACTTTTAAAAAATATGCCAATGATGTACGGATATGTATATTGAAAAGCAGATTCATGACAATGTAATGGTTTCACACGTTAACAGCATATTGCTTATTTATTTGTTCAAGCACAGAATTCGAATACATGAATTTTGCCATATTTGCAAAGATTGCTGACCAATGTGTCGTAATTGAGGTGTTTAGTTTGCGAATGTCCGTTCGGTTACCGTCAAATTATTTTGAAACTGATCGAGATACACGAACCTGATATCACCTTGGATGCTTCGAATATTCGATCGAAGTCCGTCTTTTGGATTTTCTTCCTTCACTTTTTTCGTTTTATCAAACTTTTAGCAAGTTAAATGCAAGTACACGAGTTGTTCCAGCGTTTTATCCAGTGTTGATAAAACGCCATTATACATATGTAATATAACGTCATAACGCTGTTATACAAATTGCCGACAAACTACTTTGCTCGGATCTCGCAAGTAAAATCTTCGTATGTTACGGGTGGGTTACGGGGCACATACGACAAGGAAATAAATAGGGGTAACCGATTTAGAAAAGTACGATCGGGGAGAGCTTAATAAGAAGACGAAAGAAGCAGGAAATTTGGAAGAAAAAGCTGAGAAAAGAAAAAAACGAGAGATGAAATAATGAAATGATGAAAATAAGGTGGTTGACTGGGGATCGAGTGTGATTGAACGGTCAAGGAAGGGGAAAGAGACTCAAAGGGTAAAGAGAAGGGGCAGTGAACGAAGCAGAGTAGAAGGAGAAGAAAGGAAAAGTAAGACTGACGGCGGTACGAGTGACAATTCTGAGGTGTTCGCTTGCAAAAGACTCGAGGTGGCATAAGAGGAGGATCGGTAGATTCGGGCTGGGAGAAAGTTTCCAAGGTATATCTCTAGTGTTTGTTTCTTCGTTCATTCGTTCATTCGTTCATTCGTTCTTTCGTTCGTTCGTTCGGTCCTTCGTTCGTTTGTTCGTTCGTTTTTTTTTTTTTTTTTTTTTTTTTTTTTTTTTTTTTTTTTTTTTTTTTTTTTTTTTTTTTTTTTTTTTTTTTTTAGTTAAGTTAGTTAAGTTCATGATTTGTTTGATACCTTAAAAGAGTGTCGCGTAGACGTTGACTTTACGGAATTTCGGATAAGGTCAGTGAAATTGTGCAAAGATTATCCCAATAGTTCGAAATGATACGGACTGTACATTTATTTAGTACTAGATGATCTTGGATGATGTTGGTCGTATTAAAAAATACTTTTGCGTTTGACTCGTATAATTGGAACGAAATTTATCCAACAATATTCTCGATACATCCTATTCGGATAAACGACGGCGTTAATACGCGCGTGTAAAGAAAGAAATTCTGTTTAGCTTTTCTCTTCTTTTTAATAATTTTTAATTAGTACGTACATGTGTACGTGATTGACGAACTCTTCATTTCACACGGTCGTTGAACATCAAACTTTCATATAGTTGTAATGTAAATTTTCCTTCGTATATTAGGAGGGAAAGAAGGTAAGATAGAGACGGTGAATGGTGAGTGGGGTGAAGCGAAAGGGTGAAACTCGCGTGTGCATGATGTGTGTAAGATGTGTACGGTGTACCAATGTACAAAGTAGTTTTCTTGAATCAGTATCGACTTGGATCTATGTCAGATTCCGGAGTTGGATTTCAATCCACAACTTTCTTCGTCAGACATTCACCGTGAATTCGCCGCCAGTTAAAATTCGTGTCGAGCATGGCAGGAGAGAATCGTTTAAACGCGCGAATGTCGTTCGTTCGTTTGTTTGTTTAGACATATATATTACACGTGTAAAGAACACGTATGAGATGCAACTAGGTGCAATTATAATACAATGATTGAATTGATTGTACGAGACGACCGTGTAAGAATCTTTTAAATCTGTGAGGCAAATCGTTTTGATTTTTTTTAAAGCAACCAAGTTGTTTTGTGTTGCGAAAGTCTTCATACCAAATAGAATATTTAACGACGGATACCGTTACTTTGTAAAGGTTGCTCGCGCAGCATCCGTATTCTTAATATTTACTTACGTAACCGCATGAAATACGTTCGAATAAATTCCGATAATTTGCGAAGCATGGAACACATCACTCTCTGCGCTGTATTCGATTCGGAGGATATGTCACAAACGTGATTCTATATATGTGACAAAAGGAAGACTTCCACGCTAGTGGCCAAGCTAGTGAGACTAGCAACGAAACGTTATCCAATGGCAATGAAACGGCAGAAGATGCTGTGAAGGTAGGAATTAGGAATTCTAAAACGCAGAAACGATAACGGGCGGTGGGCGGCTGTGGGAGATGCGAGGAACGTAGAGAAAGAGAAAAAGGACTTTCATTTCGTTATACATAAATAAATGTCGAATCTTCGTGTATTGCCGCGCTCACGATACTGTTACACACTTTTCGCTTGGTAATCTTGCTCTAACGTTTTAACTCGACGAGTTAAATTTCGTAAATTTTTTCATCATTTCGACTGTTTCGGTCTCATAAGGAAAGAAAGAGGAACTCGTTAGCGATTCGAAGAATCGAGTGAAAGGCAAGCGAAATAAAGTTACTTTTCAGTTGTATCTTTTGTTAAAAAGATATAAACCAGCAGCAGAGTAAATATTAAGGATCGTAAGAATCATTAAAGAGCATCGAGTAGGTTCCAAAGTTCTTCAAGTGTCGAATAATCTTTCGTAGTTGGACGACCAGCACAAACTATCGATGATAGATATAGACGTTTCGATTTGAATTTGGAACATGGTAAAAGACGCCGCGACCAAGTTCACGATCAACTTTCACTCTATGACGCGATGATGTACGCAGTTTCTCTCTTCTCTGACTAGTTATCGTGAGAGTACAAACAGTTGTGTGAAACAGGGACGTTATTCATTTTAGATTTAGTTATTCGTGTGATTGTCGCAATATAGTGTGCTTTGTTTGTCCCTTTGATTGTTTCGTTTTGTTTAGTTGTCGTTTTATTGTTAACTTTGAAACGTCACGTAGCGAACGCAGCAAACAGAAACAACGCGATGGTGGAAGTTTTGGTGGAACCTGGTGGCCAAGAAGCGACCGCCTTGGGTAACGATTGCAAATTGAACGGCAACCCGACGGAACGTTTGGCTCGAAGCGATCGTTGCGATTCGATTTTAGAACAGTCGAACCTTAGCCCGATTCAACAGTTCTACAATGGGCAAAGCATCTTCATCACTGGTGGTACCGGATTCGTTGGCAAACTTTTAATTGAAAAACTTCTCCGAGAGTGTCCTGGGATCTCGTTCGTCTATTTGTTGATACGTCCGAAGAAGGGGAAGGATATGCATCAACGTATCGAAGAAATCTTCGACGACCCGGTAAACATCTCTCACTTTATACTTAATTTTTTTCTCCAGCTCTTTGCTATTTTCGAGCTCGTCAAATTTTTCTTTTTCTCTTTTCGATCGAACAGATCCCGAATCCAGATTCTCTAACACCACTTTTGCTTCCGGCTCGATCTACGGATCGATCACGACACGATCACTCGCTTTCCCTCGACACGTCGTTCTCAAGCCACTCTCTTCTTTTTTTTTCCTTTTTCTTTTCTCTTTCGTTTTTTTTTCTTTTCTTTTTTTCTATCTTGCCCTATCTTATCTACTTATCTACTCTTTAACGCATCAAACCATTCAAACCTAGATTGGCGAACGCACCTAGGGTACCGGTTTCTGAACGGATCTCTATCTAAAAGCTACCATCGACGATCCATCCATTGTATCCAATTGCTAATTTACTTTTCTATTTAGCTCTTTGATAAACTGAAAGAGACGCAACCAAAATTTCGGCATCAAATCGTTGTGGTAGCCGGAGATTGCAGTCAACCAGGTCTCGGCATGTCCTCTGTAGATAGACAAACGGTTACGCGAGAAGTCTCTATCGTTTTTCATGTTGCGGCAACAGTCAGATTTGACGAGAAAATGAAACTTGCCGTACCAATCAACGTTCGTAGTCCGATAGAGGTAATGAATCTCTGCAAGGAAATATCCTCTTTAAAGGTAAATAAAACATTCTTTATATACAATTATACAATCGCATCCCTTGTTCCTTACTTGTACGCATACGTGTGTATAATATATGTATATATAAGTATATGTATATATTTACACATGCAGTACCAGTATATAAGCACTGCAATTCTAGCAAGCAATTTTGTAACGATAAACGCAACTTTTAGTCGTTCGTCCATGTGTCGACGGCATACGCTAATTGTCCGTTAGATCTTATCGAAGAGAAGGTCTACGAAGCACCGATCGATGGAGAGAAGTTGATAACTATCGTTGAATATATGGATGAGAAATTAATCGATGAAATTACCCCGCGGTAAGCAAATTTTTCAATTGTGCTTCAAATTACGCTTCGTTCAGTTATTTCCATTCTGCTTATTCTTGTTCCAACAACTCAACTATATTATGTTACGATAGATTGTTAGGTGCATGGCCGAACACGTATACGTACACGAAAGCAGTAGCTGAAAGTGTCATTGTGAAACAGGCCGGCGAGCTGCCTGTTGGAATATTTCGTCCTGCCATTGGTCAGTAAAATTTTCAAGTGTCAATATGCTTTATCGTTCCCTATAGCTTTATGATCACCGACATCCCCGATATTTCGTACGTACTCAATCACTCTCTTCCTCATATTCCATGTACACGGTTTCCATTATAATTATACGAAATAGATTTGAAAGTAAGAACTAAGCAAGAGAGCGAAGAAACGCGTTGAGAGTAGGAGTAGATATCGATTGGATGGATATAACATTTTTCAGTGATATCGACGTATCGAGAACCGATACGAGGATGGATCGACAATCTGTACGGACCAACAGGTGTTGCAGCTGGAGCTGGTACCGGTGTCTTACGATCGATTCATTGCGATGGATCCATACAAGCCAATGTCGTTCCTGGTGATTTAACAGTAAATGCTCTGATAGCTTGCGCTTGGGACATAGCGAATCGTCGAAAGTAAGATTCATCGGTTAAAACTTAAATTTTCTCATTCGTTTGACTCTTTTCGATTTTTGCTTCTTATTTCTTTCTTTTTCTTTTTTTTTTTTTCTGTTTAATCTTTCGCTATTTTTTTCGTGCATGGTTTATCTGCGCCTTACTATTTATTTTTGCGCATTTTTTTTTTTTTATGCGCAGATCTGCGACCACCAAAGAAACAGGAAATGACATACCCGTTTACAATTACGTTTCGAAAGATAATCCTATAACGTATGATCAATTGAAAGTTTTATCTGAAAAATACGGACTTCAATTTCCCACTAGCAGAGCCATATGGTACTATAGTTTCCGAAATAACAAACACAAGATAATTCATCTTATGTACGTTTACTTGTTACATTTATTGCCGGCACTCTTGATCGACACTATCACGCTCTGTTTAGGAAAAGAACCGAGGTAATTAATTTTACACACACGCACACGCACACGCACGCACGCACGCACGCACACACACTCTCTCTCTCTCTCTGTCTTTGTCTTTCTGCACTTTTTTCCATGATATGATTTTTTTATTTCCTTCTCCATCATGTACATCTGACATCAATATACATTGCCCTCATTTTTTTAACTCGAGCATTTTCTTAAAGGATGTTAAAAATTTATAAAAAGATACACAAATTTATGGATGTACTCAACTATTTTTCTACCAAGGAATGGAAATTTTCAAATGACAATGTTAAAGGATTATTGAATAAAATGACAAAGGAAGACCGTGAAAATTTTGCATTCGACATCACGGAAATTGACTGGGATCATTATTTTCGAATGTATGTACGTGGAATTCGTATGTATCTGATAAAAGATCCGCTAGATACTCTTCCAAAAGCACGTGCCAAGTGGCAAAGGTATCTCGTTTTTTTTCTTTCTTGTTTTTTAAATCGGTCATACATAGTGACCAATGTTGAATGTTCGTTTTACAGATTATATTGGACTCATCAGGTGGTTAAGCTAATTCTCGGCTATGCTGTATTACGAATATGTTGGTTAACTTTGTCTCTTCTCTTTCGGAATTGTATACGTCAATTTGCGTAGCAAATGAATTTTACGCGTATGACAAGCGGAAATCAGAAGCGCGCGGCAATGCACGCAATAATATACGTCGGATGCACATACATATATGTACCTTTGTTTGAACTTGGTTGAGGATCAAGCGTCGTTTTTGTCTCAACTTCATCATCGCGAGATGATCTTGTTCCCCGTGTTTGTGATCGAAAGTGAGGCTACTTTGCTGACTTTCTGAATAACTCGGAAGAATGGAGAAGAAGAAAAGAGAAATAAAACATATTGAAAAAAGAGTATTACACAATTTAATTCGTTCAGGTGCCGCGTATTCGCTTTTATTCAATTCAAGATCATTGCAAAACCGTTTGGTAACTCCAATCTGATATATCATTTGAGAAATTTTCGCGTTTGAGAAATTTGTAAGTAAATGATAAAATGCAATGCGTTTCCTTTCATTTCTCTTTCCTTCTCTTTTCCTTTATTTCACGAACGTTCTTATAGGACATATTTTCCGCTTATTGGGAAATTAAGGCAATACCGCCTAATTTTCAATTGTGTTTTAAAGGTGTGCAAATCTTGTACTTTACGCTTTCATTTGTAATAAAACATAGTTTCCTTTTTATGGAAATCACAATTGATTCGACTTGCTTGCTCTGTTATCTCTTGTGATGACAAGATATCGCGTATAGATAGCCAGTTGTGATCGGTTTGGTAACGGCAACTGGTCATGCCGGTTCGAATCGCATTGTATTTAATGTCACTCGATAATAAATATACAATTGTTGCATAAGATTCCACAACGTATTTCATTCATTTCCAAATATCAATGGAGGACGTCTTTTATAGTATACGTAAATTAATAAATAATGTGCAAGTATACAATATACATGTATAATTATTCATTCTTTAAACATAAGAAAATACATACGTACCGAATTTGGGATTCTTTCATCTTTTTATTTTAGATTGTTCGACAAGCTCACTCTTACCGCCGTCTCTACCACTATCTTCTGAAATCTTTTCTTCTTAAATTACTCGTTTATCCACTTTCTTTTTCTTGCATCATTCACTCCTCCTCAGTTAGTTGCCCCTCTCAAGTCGTCGTCGCTCCAAAGGTCATACCGAAAAATTCCAAAGTACGTTGCTGTTAGTATTAGTTACATATTTCACATCCATCCCTTGCCTTTTATCCTACTAATTTAATTTTAATTTAATACTCTACCGATCTCGTGATTTGATATCTATTCACTATTTGTGATAGCAAACACAGTCAAATAAGGATACATTGAAGTATACATATAATGGAACATACACTGGATGAACGTCGTTTTTACAAAAGATTTATTTTTCATAAGAATTACATTGATAAGAAATTGCTAAATCTACAACATCTTTGATAATTTATGTAAAAAATATATTATAAAATGTACTATATATGTACATTGCCATACATATTAATGACCGATTATCGAGATCTCGTTTTTAATTATATTCGATGTTACTTTTTTCATTTTTCTTTTGTTCTTTACAAATACATACGTACATCTAGTTAATGGTATTATAATAGAAAAAAAATGTGTCTTGCAATTGCTATGTATATATTGACGGCTACATTCGGAATACTTCTGAAGCTAATCATACCAATCGGTATATTTTTCTTAAATCTGCTTGGAAGAATTATTTACTTTACATACTCACTCTTTCGTAAGCTAACTGCAACTGAATTGACCCGAGTATCTACTGACAACTGATTGCGATGGAGATAATTTCACTTCTAAAAAAAAGAGTAATCAAAATTTGTAGATACGTGATTTCCTGACACAAAATAATTAACATATAATTATAATTCGTATAAAAAATGATTAACGATGTAAATGGATAATCAAGTTCAAGAGACAAACTAATAACGAATATCAAAGTTTTATTATTAAAAAGTTTTATTAATAAAAATGAAATACGACAATAAACGATTGCAAGATTTTTTTTATATACTTTTTAATCTTACATCCAAGCAAGAACACAAGTTCAGTAAGACGTTCTTTACGAGTTCCTATTTTTAAAAGCTCGTTATTTATTATGATTTTGGACGGAATTTCAAAATTATTGGACGGATTAGTATACTTATATACTTTACGTTTTACGCCATTGTGTAATATCGTAACACTACGTAATACATTCAACCTCCTCATCTAAATCTTTTCAGTTTAATGCAGCATGTATATATCGTTAATTTTTTGTTATCCGTATTAATGAAACAAGAACGATGTCATTGCAATTTGATAGAATATCAAATTGTTCTGTTTTAATTCGTTGGTAGTGCAGATACCGCACTATGTGGTGTTGTTGGACGAGAACCAGCGATGGATTGTGTAGTAGATGCATTTAATGACTGCATAGTTCCAATCTGAAATAAAGGTTGTCAATCAATGGTCTAGTTACAAAAGACAAAAACGAACAAATGATAAAAAAGATTAACAAAAGCGAATATGACAAAGTGAAAAGACTCCTTTCAGATAACTTACTCTTAAGTGAGCCAAATCTTCTAATCTCGTAAGATCGCACAATTCTACATATAAAGAATACACTATTAACCATCCATAAATGGAAGAACAAATGAACGTCATCCATAAGATGCACATTGTAATGTTATAAGCAAATATCATGTCATTTACTATACTAAAGAAGATAAAAGCAAAAAATCTGAAAACAATGAAAACTGCAAAACTGTAGAGCCATGGTACCATCTTCTTCTCATATTCTTTTCTTAAAGCAGCTGTCAATATCAAGGATGTTGCAAACACTATTATTCCTCCAAGCATAGAGAACAAAGCAAAAACAACGAGAGCATTACGTACTGAAATAAAATATCGATATGATAATGATTTATCGCATTTTTCTGTTTCCTTTTTATTTTATCTAAACTTATAGAACCAATTAAATTTCAATAATCTATATACTTACCATGCCGATTACCCACATAAACAAATTCATATGATATCATGTAATAGCCATAATGGGTTGAGCCCGGTGCAGCTTCATAAAGACAATAAAGATCAAATATAGATGTGCATATGGTGAAAGTGGCTAAACACTGAAACAACACCTTTCGTCTCAATATAAATTCTGTATACCACTGATCAACTACATATATGCTTACCAGTGCAAATATAGCTGTAAACATGGCGCCTCTTTGAATATTGAGTAAATATGAATGCGATAAAATTGGTTTCTGATACCAACGTGTTTTAACACTGCGCGTTGATCGTGAAGATTTTAAATTTGCACTGCTACGTGTAGTAACGTGGGAATATACCGACGGTGTACCCATGCTGGGAGATTTTTTTCCGTAATTCATTTTACAAATATGTCAGTTTTTTTTATCGCTATGTCAATTGTATTTCTTACGAATACTTGAAACGACGTATTTTGGAATTGTTTTATACCGTAACATTAAAGGTTAGTTTATAAATATTACTTTCACTGTTTCCTACGATAACATTTGTTTCTCACTACGATATTATGATGATACATATCAATTTTTTTCAACGATAGTTTAGTATTATAATTGTTGAAAATTTCAGTCGATCAAGTCATAAACATAAACATGAAATCACACCGTTTCGACAATTGTCGTCCATTAGAAGCCGACGCCCGAAATTTCAAATCAACTTAACCGAAGTGTGACGACGAAAGTCGAAGAGATCCGAAGTGATTTTAATATAATTATAAATTATAACTTATAATATCAACTAAAGACAAAATAGACATATCATATGAAACTTCGTGTCTTGCGATGTCTTTAAAATTCTAATCTCTAAAAAAGATATAAAATTCTAATTCTTAAAATTCTAATCCCTAAAAAAAAAAGATCTAAAATTCTAATCTCTAAAAAAGATAAGTTTTTTACGATTTCTGTGATACACTATGGCGAATGTAAGATTTCTATTCAACACCATCATTAAAAACGACAAAGTTAGTAGCATTGTTTTATTACGAAATAGTTAATTACAACATTGAATAAGAATAATAATAAACTTGCTAAATACAACGGTTTTTCGTAGCCCATGTATTGGGGGAACATCTGATTCCATATAGTTTTCATTTTATATGGCTCGTACACGATGTAGTATAGTCGAATGAGAATTAAATTTTTTTATGAAATTACAAATAAGATATGAAACATGATAATTATAAACCAAGTACAGAATTTCAAATTACAATAGTTCCTTATTCATATTGCAATGCCATTAATTGTTCTTTGTATCTTTCAAATTAAGTCCTACTTTCTTACTACATGACATTATGGTTAATTAAGTGCATGTATAAAGATTTTACAAATTTAATTTTATAAATTGAATAACTTCATGATGGAATTTTATGATGAAATAAAAAAAAACTTCAAGCATTCACGCGATTAATTTAAATTTCATACGTGGTGTACGAGAAATTATTTAAAACAATATTTCAATCTATTGGGAACAATTTGTATTTAAATTTTTATTTGCATCTTTCCCAATTTCGGTGGAATATGGAAAGAAAATTGAGGATTCTATTCTCAAATAAAAAATAAATCTCTTTAATTAATGAGAATTAAAGCAATTCATTCAGGTGTATACACTAGCGTCGTGTTGCAGCAAAATGATAAAATTATTTATTCACACTCAAACTAAAAAATCGAATATTTTAAGCTATATATATATATATATATATGTATATATACATATATACACACACCTTGTAAATAAATTATATATTTCGTGAATCCCGCTTGTTCCACACATACATATTATTGATTTTTATCCTCTGTTGAGGAATTATAATGGTAGCCTAAATTAATGAAAGATACATATTAATATTTCATTTCTCATCTTTAATAGACAATTGTCCGAAGGTATCTTATAATTTACCTTTTTGAATGTTTTAAAACCAGGATTAACTCGAAGTATTGATAATTTATTTTCCTGTGTGGAAACATTTTCTCTTTCCTTCCGTTTTTTCTCTCCTTCTTCCTAAAATTAAAAACAAAAATTGCATACTTGTAGTAAAACCTTCTTCTTTGAAATTTTGAAATAAAAATTATATATGTAGTAAATTGATGATAGAACTTACAGTACGATTTTCAGATGTACTCGAGTGTGATTCTATTGTTTCTTCCAAATTTTCTGGAGTTATATAATTATCAATTGAGCAAGTTGTTGATTGCTTTTCCCTATTGTTAGCTCTTAAATTACTCGTTAGATCGTCTGAATTATTGTCTGTGAGATCTTTATTAGAATTTGTAATATTATTTTGATTTGGTTGAATTACTTTCAGTTCAGTTTTATCATTTAAAATTGTTAGTTTTTGTAATTGTTTCTTATCTTGTGTACTTTTGTGTTTATGTAAATTCTGATTATCATCATTGGAGTATTGTGCGGTTTGTAATGACACATTAGAGTTGTTTTCATTAGAAGATTGTATAATTTGAACATTTGCAACTGTTGTTGAAACATCATTAAGAGTTTCTTCTATGTAATATGACTTATTGTACTTTTGTTTTTTCGTAGGTTGTGTCACAACAAAATCTATATTTGATTTTTGGCTATTAATAGAACTTAATGTTTCGGGAATAACATGTTTTATGTTTGCATAATCACAATTGCGTGACTTGTCACAATTTCCCTTTTCCTTAACTTCTGTGACAACAAAATCTACCCTTTGTTGTGATTCTTGACTATTCAACGTTTCAGGAATAATGTGTTGTTTTATGTTTGTACAATCATAATTGCATGACTTGTCATGATTTCCTTTTTCTTTAGCTTGTGTGGCAACAAAATCTATCCTTTGTAGTGGTTCTTGACTACTGACATTCAATGTTTCAGGAATAACATGTTGTTTTATATTCATAGATGCCATTACCGGAATGTTATAGTTTACATTCGTCATCAAATTTTGTGTATCAAGATTTAAATTTTCAGATGAGTCACATTTTGGTTTTCGTCTCTTTAAGAGTTTCGCGAATTTGTACATTGGATTACAATATTTTTCTCTTGAACAGTGTAATATTGCAAGAGGAATCTCAGCTTCTGATATCATTCTACAATTATTTGCTTCAAATGCATTTTCTGGAAAACAAATTATCAGCTAAATAAATATATAAGGGTAATAAAAGATAATCTAAATTATTCTATAATATGCAATAATCACTTATTAAGCTGTATTCAGAAAAAAGAATGGATTCATAGGTGGTTTGTGTCATGTCACTATTTGGATATTGTAACACAATTATATTTGGGACACAAAGTTCTGCAGCTGTTAAACTTTCCCTGTAAAAGAATTTTGATTTTCCACCTGAAATATATTCCTTATTAAGAACAATATTTAATAATATTTTACTACGATAAATTATATATACTATTTTCAATCTTTTGTTCTTTACCTGCAATTTTTATGACTTTTTTATATTTTTTATATTGAGTTGCACTAAAATGTATAAATGTCAAATTCTCAAATAGTTTCGTTCTTTTCTCATTTTGAGACAGTGATATATTTTCTTTAGTGATTAATACTTCGTTAATTGGTGGAATAAAATTATTTGGGTCTGGAAGTGGTTGACAATTATTTATTGAAAATTTAACTTGATCCCAATATTTCATTGTTACTATTGGTAAAGCAGATGCCATAGCACAAGCAACCTGTTTTACATTCAAATAAATAATAAAAAATTAAAAAACTTTAATTTTAAAGATAAATGAACTAAATCAAAAAACTTTCTAAGAAAAATACCTTTAGTGTTAAAACAGCTTTTCCTACTGTTAAATAAGTAGATGCCCTTCTCCAAACATTGTCATAAATAATCACACCGTCAATTTCTTCCATCAAATTTTGAAGTCTTTTTACCTCTTCATTGTGTAAAGTAGATGTTGTTGTTATTATAGGCATATTAATTACCCTAATATATAAATTTATTATACAAAAAATTCTTATTTATAAACATTTTTAGATAAAAAGAATTTTCAAAAATTAATACTTTACACAAATATATGATGCAGTAAACCAAATCTTATTTTATCTTGATGCTTTAAGTTATATTCAGTTTCAGTTATTTGAATTATTTCCCCCTCACGAAGAACAAAAGTGCCATATTTTGACTTATCTTTTAATTTACATACAGATGTGGGTTCATTACCCTGAAAGAATATAAGAATTCTTATTTTGTACAAAGAATTTTATTGTAAAATACAGTTAAATGTATTTCTCATCTTTTAAAGTACCGTTATAATACTTAATTGTGTAACACTAATTAAAGCATGTTCCTTGCTAATTGACGTATCATTTGACAAAATAACGTCACCATTTTTTCTGCCAAATACTGTCTCATAGTTTGGTTTTAGATATACATAATGACCTAAAATTAAAAAGAAATAATTGTCATTTATGATTACTTTGCTATTTTGAATAAAAATATAAAATACCTTCCAGACCAATCAAATACCACATTGTAATCTCAGAATTACAAATTAGATTACACACTTAGTTGACACATCCAATTTATAGTTGCGTTTATACATACATATAGAGTATCATATATTCAGAGAGACATTTACTATTAGGACGTGAGATATGAAAGAAAAATCCAAATTCCAGGACGGAAACTATCCTGGATCCCAATTTATCAGTTTGATGTAAAATATACGATGTAATATAAGGACAAATTAAACAAATTAAATTTTTTCTGGCTATAATGTTTTTTTTTTTTTTTTATGTTTCATACAATATAAAGTATATATTTCTGTCTGCAAAAAGGTATAAGATAAAATAAACTTATAATTCTCAAAAACTCTTCTATTTGATTATTTCTCATACTACCAACCTAACATAGAATTTCAAATTAACCAATCATGTGCAATCTTGACTGATGAAACAACCAACCATATCTTAGAAATGTATGCATCGAAAATGGAGGTATATACTTATTGTTAGTAACTTGCACACGTAGTGGAATAGTTTCTTTAGTAAGATAACTTTGCCATTTACTCTTCTTTCCGTTGCCTGATGTCGAAGTGAATGGTCTCTTTCCTAGAAAGATCAAAAACTGCTGGTTAAGAAAATGAGTAAAATACAAAATAAAATGGTAAATTTGCATAAATATCATTACATATCCTTAAGAATCTAATAAATAATTATATAGAATATAATATAATATGATATGATATGATATAATATAATATAATATAATATAATATAATATAATATAATATAATATAATATAATAAAATAAAATATATGTGTAATGTTATAATCATCCTTAATTATCCTAATTTCATTTGGTGATAATATTAATTACAGTATAATGACTATACAAAATTTAGGATGATTATAAAAATGCAGGTTTGTATCCGTAATATATACAAATGTAAAATATGTATAAAAAGAAAAAAGGTTCAAATTATAAGGTTTGGTTTAATTTTTTTTTAGTTTTTCCTATTAAATAACAAACAAGATTTCAATCCTACATAATCTATCTTAATCTAACTTAATGTGTTTCAAGTATTTTACTTTGAAAATTTCAATTAAGTTGGTATTTATATATAATATTAACAAAATATTTTTATTTTTAGGAAGAAAATATGTTGAACAGATATTGAAAATTAGGAATTGATAAAGCTAATCATATTAAAAGTTGGAATGCAAATGGTGGAAAAATGTGTAATTATTATAAAATTTTGATTCAACTATTCCTTCGACTATTTCTCTTCTAAATAATTTTTGTTACTTAATGATATTTAAAATGAAAACTTAATTTTGTACATTATGTGCACATCATAATATTATTTCTTATCAATTATCAATTCCTTTGGAATAAGAATTTAATACATATTCAAAGTAAAGCAATATATTTAATATTTTTTGAAGTAATTATTTCTATAGTGAATTAAAACAATAGATTTATAATTTCATAAGCTTCTTTTATGTAACTTATTTTGTAAAATTTCTAAAACATAATGATTTCTTTTCATAATGATAAAGCTTCAAAGATCCTGACATGTTTTCATTGAGATAAACAAAAATTTGTGTAAATATGTTTAATTAGTAATATATTTTTCTTTTAGAACATTAAGAGCTGCTGTGAAATGAAATTATTTTAATTACGAATCAAAGTTTAAAAGGTAATTGTCTTAGTCTAATAATAAATAGTTATATTTTTATTATTACTTATATGAATACCAAAAAGTTAATGAACCTTTGTAGAATGTTAGCATATAGGTATTAGTGATATGTCTGGAATATTGCACATATTTACTTCATAATTTTAATTAATTTGTAAAATATAACAAATTATTAAATTTATTACATTTTAAATTATTATGATGTTTGTATAACATTTTGTTGTTAACAATTGTACAATTGTTAAAATTTGTTACATTATATAATTTTAATTTCTTATGTCATTAATAATAATATTTAATAAACATTATTAGGAACATGATATGCTATCATCTTACAAAAATTTGTTAATATCAAATTTTAATCTAAACAGGCAATATGTATGTTTTTATGTAGATTTATCATGATGAAACTTTGGCTAGAGTTCTGAATAAAAAATAACTGATGATTGTATATTGTACTGAAATTTAATATATAAGTAGTAGAAACATTTATCTATTATAAATGCAGTTTTATGTACACAATGTTTTTTCTGTTGCAGTGTTTCACTCAAAATACCAAATATTTTTAAGAAAATAATTAAATTATTTTTCAATTCTGCAAAAATATGAAATATTTATATTTTGAATTTATAATATGATCAAATGTGAACACTCACAACTCAAAAAGTAATGTATGTTATCAATTAAAATGTATGTTATCAATTTATATAATTATATACAACATTAAATAATATTTACAAAAAGTATATTGTACATATTTCCCGAAGCTTATCCTGAAGTTAAAAAATAACAAACAAATAAATAAAGAAAAGATTAGAAAGATATTTGTGTTGCTCATGTAAAAAAAAATAAGTACATATGGTTTTTGATTTTGGCCGTGTATGAGCTATAATCGGTGAATGTTTCCTGGTCCATATAGTGTAAATCAAGAAACTGTGAACATGTTAAATTTATTGTAAATTTAATTTTAAACAATCTATCTTATTATTATTATCTTTATATATTTATGTTTAATTATTGTATACTCAGAATAAGAAATTAAAATTTTTGTACATAGTTACAAAATTTAACACAGTATGTACTCATGTTTAGTTCATTGCTAAAAGTATTAGTTTGATTCATGTTTTGTTATCTTTTTGGAGATTATCTGGATCCAATCACACACTCCTTTTATTTTTTCTATTACCATCCAATATTAAATTGAATAATTTAAAATCATTAAATTAATGAAATTAAAAATTAAGAATTTAATTTCAACTTCAGAAAATGCAATTACGGACACTTCGTTAAATCGATTATTTGATGGTTATTTAACGATAAGAAATTGAAGAAGAAAGTTTTACTTTTTGTTCTAAAAGATCATGTACGAAAATTTCTTATGAAACACGCGCGTCAACGATTTTAGCATTTAGGTTAAGTATAGATTACAGCGCCAATGAAATGGTAAAATACACAACTACCTGTGTACAGCGATATTCAAATATAATCGATATAAGTAATTTGTTGCGATCGATCTATAACATCGATCGAGACTATCGCGACTATAATGTAAGTAAATACTACAAACGTCAGTTTTACGCGGGGAGTACAGCAAGAGAAAGCATCATCCAGAAGTTACCCGATAAAGAATCAATAGTGCTTGAACTTACTTTTCTTTTGTCCAATACGATTTAGAATAGTGAACATTATTTAGTAGAGTTATTATATGTCTTTAATCTCCAGTCTCTTGTTACTTAGAACTAATGATTTCAAAGCAATTTGCAAGTTCATAGTTATGTATATGTATGTACATGTATTAAATCCCGTCCATCGCGGAACCTATGCTTCAAATTAAATCATTGCTTTGTAAGTATTAATATATTGCGAGTGTAGAATCACAGGCTAATAAATTACGTCATATGATCATAGTAATTTATATGGTTACAATAATTGTAACCATTAAGAATTATGTATATGCTATATTTTGTTGTAATTGTATTCTGTGTCAAGAAGGTAATTATATTCTATGTTCGTCAATTTAATTAATTCTATTTTATTAAATGAAATAAGCGCGTTGATATTCATGTATAAATGGCACATAATATGCCTATTGTTGAAAACATTTTCGTAGGACACTTTATTTTTCTCATGAATCAGTCGAATCCCATTGTTGCATGCTCCCTTCTCCTTTCTCCTCCTCCCTCCTTACTTCAATAAATTAGTTGACAATAAGGAGTTAGTCTGTTGAAAATCATGGCATTAAGGTGTAACATCACGTAATATATTTATTAATGTGTATATATACTTTCATTTCTTTTTATCTGCTATTCATATTTTTAATTGACATACATTTCTTTTTTATCCAATAACTTTTAAAAATTTATTCGAAAGTAATCTTTTTTTTCTGATTTTTAGTTGATTACGAAGGAAACATGGGGGATATTGTGAGATTTGGAAAAATGTGACGTAATACAAAAAGACGCCATGGCGATTAATGATAAAATAACTTTTCACAAAGGTACAGTAATATTTGATTTATTTTAATAAAAGAAGATTCTTTTTAGAAAAGGGCGCTTTTACGAACATATTTGAATACGTTCTGCGCATTACATGTATTGCGCAATATTATTTGTGCATTTGTGTTTAACTGACAAAAAAAAAATCTGCCATATTTGATTAACATGATATATATTTGGAATTCTAATATTCTGTATTATAGATATTTGATAATATAATAAATATTTTACTTTATTATCATGTTAGAAAGCTAAGAATATAAGAATCTTTGCATATTATATTAAAATTAATTCTACTCTCTTTACATTTTGCTTTAATTATTATTAATTAAAAAATTCTTTCTATTCTTCTTGTCACTTTTAAGTCTATTTTACGGTAATAATTGTCAATTACAAAAATATAATCTAATTAAAAATTTGACAAGTTTAAACTTTTATTTTTGAATTGAATTGAATATTATGATTAAAACGTCACATTTAATTGTGATTAATGTTTCGTGATTTTTTTAAATTTTTTAAATAATTGACACTATGTTTGAGAACTATGTTATGATTGTAATAATGTATTAATGTGTCTTACAGATTTCTTTCTTAGAATCTTTACTTTTTCCACGGAGCCGACGATTTGACTTTTCCTGGGAACTACATTGATGACAACATTTTTCATATATAATGGTAAGTTGCATGCATTTTCGTTCCTCTGGTCGCTCATCATGTCATAGAATGAACGATCCGAATCGACAAGGGTGACTGGTTGTATTACGTAAAATTTTTTATGAATATGATGACTGCGGATATTTATTATACTCGTGAACAATAATTTTCTTGTTTCTGTTTTATCTATTTTATCAGGATAAATTTTCTTGCATATCACGTTCCTTAATGACAATAACAAAGCAGTAATTAATATGAGCAATATGCCGTGATTCATTGGGTACGATTATTTTATCCTTTATGTGCGAAAAGATATTTCGCGACAGGTAGATTTCAGAATCAAAGCAATAGTTTTAAACAGTATTTTTAAAGATATGCTTCAATGAAGGAATCGTTTAAAGATATTTCTATCAATATTTTACTTACTTACTATACAGTAATTCACTTATTCATTGAATTTGCTCCAGTCCACCGGCTGGATTGTGTAAATCGTGGTTTTTATTATATTTGAAATTTGTTAATTTCGATTTGAATTAGAATCGCGAAAGAATATGTACGTATGTATTTCGATTTCCATTACAGTTGTGGTATAACCATAAGTTTTGTGTGTTTGCTTTCATATTGCAAATACTTGTAATACATCGTGGCTGTTCGTAGCCTTTTGGCTATAAATTTTTAAAGAGTAATGTTTGAGAGTAATATATGACAATATATTCTTATTTCCCTTTTTTTTTTTTGTTATGAAAAATGCAACAGTTTTATTTCTAGTGCTTAAGTTGTTCGAAATATTGCCAACACTGTATATATGTCGTATATTTATTTCTATTCGCGAATAGTATTTTTTGTTTGGCAATTACAATTTTCATGTATTGCCGTTGATTTTTTTCACTATTTTCTAAAGTGATACTGTAATCTGTAGGAAAATAATCTTATAGATGTTATAGAAGAAAACAAAGAGCTAAAGATAGATGGAAATTTTATTGAGAATGAATATAGAGCAATTCTATATTTAACGGATTAACGGACAAAAATATTAATGTACTTACATGTTGCGTAATGATTCTCGACGAATCGACTTCGCAGAGTCCATCTTCTTGGCGAAGAAAGGAGGTTAACAAGTATGAAAGTAACGCTTCATGTATGTAAATGGATCTTCAGTAGGCTTAAGCTGAAGAGCTCGAAGCTGATTTCGTTGTATGCACGAATATTGATCGACTCATTAAAAGTGTTTTCAACTGAGACAGCAACTATTCAAAATGCCGTGTATATCTATATATGTATAGGTATGTTTGCGAAAATACCGTGCGCTTAATTAACTGAAAGAGAGTTAACGAACATTAGGGGCACAGATCGTGTACAAATTTTCGAAACATTTAAATTGGGATACTAAACCCAATTATCGTTAAATATTCAGTAGCAACTGCATATGAGTCTGTAATTTGATATCGTACGTCAGTCTTTCAGATTGCTTATTTATTTAATCTCTCAAGTACGCGAATACGAGAAATCATATTTTAAGGTAGCGTGAAATATCAGGTTATTGCAAATGAAATGGCATTTCGTAAACATAAAATACGAATTATTTAGAACTTAACGTTTAAATATTAAATTTGAAAATTTCGTGGGTTTACCAAAATATTAATTTACTAAAATTGTATACGATAGATTGATTTGATTAACGAATGAATTTAGTAATGTAGTAAAGTATGTATATATATATGTATATATATATATATAAAATTTAGTAATGTAGTAAAGTATATATATATAATCTTTAAAATATTGTTATGTTGTATGCAAAAACTTCGTGCAATAAAAATATGCTTTATGAATTTCTTTCTGATTGACTTGTATTCTTTCAAGCACATGGTGCATTTTCTTCTTGAATGTAGTATTTGGTGAATACATGCGTTTTCAAAATATCAGCTTCTTTAGCTATTGATAGGTATATCATAAATCTAAGGTGGCAAAATTCGTAGCAATTAACGAATCGTTA